GTTCCCTTTATTGAGCAATACATTTCCGGCATTCTGTTTGCGAATGATTTGGAATTACTTTGGCTTTTTAGTTTGTGTTTTCACCGCCCTAATGTTTTGAAAAGGATTTAAGCAAAAACGTTTAAATGCGATGATTTATAAGGCGGAACCGCGCGACGCTGCTTTTAATATAGCGAAGCCTGGCTCCCTCCTAAACCGTTCTCACCGGAACGCCGAGCTGTGCCGTGACGAGCGAGGACCTCGGCGCGCCCGAACACAAAGCGTAGCGGGAGCGGCCCCCCCCTGCTCCCCCTCGGAGCCGAGCATCCTGCCCTGGGCTCGCAATCCCCGCACGTCCCGTCACTCCGATCCCATCGGCTGTCGATCCCTGCGGCAACGTTGGTAATCTTCAGTTGTTTGGCGGGGCTGAGGCCCCGTCCATTTGGTTTGAAATGTTCAGAACGATCGATGCTGCTGGAGACTTTTAAATGAACCGTTCAGCTCAACGAGTAATTAATTATGCAAAAAGACTTGAAGCGTCCAGGTTATTTTTTTTTATTAACGGCGGTTATCGACAACTTCGCTGCTTGTTTCCCTTCTCAAGTCCACTTTGCATCGTTGTTTATCGCCGAGTGTAAAACGCTGGCACTAATTTGCCCGTGCGTTTGTGCTCCGTTGTAACGGACAAATCTCTGTGCGTCTGGGACGATGAAGGCTTGGCGCAACGGTCGTGCGGTCCGCCGCTCGTTGCAGAGGCTCGCGGCTCGAACCTGGCTGCCCACCCTGGTTAATGCTGCGGTGTGGCATTCGCCGGAAGAAATTCTCGGCGGCGCCTCCTTTGCGGTTGACGTTCGTGTCGTCCCTCCTCGTGTGCCGGCGTCGCGGTCCACATTCTCCAACTTGATCAATGACCTCCAAACTGTTCAGTTGGAGTGGACGGAGCGGTCATCGCCCCCTCCTGCAAAACCACCGCAGACTGTGTGCAACACAGTGCTTTGCCCTGTAAGAATGGCGTCAATTCCAAATGTACAAAATTCTTATTTGCTTTTTGTTCCATAGATGCTGTACGTGCCTGCTTGTCGGTGAAGCCCACACACAGAGTTAGGAGCAGAAGGGAGGGGGTTTTGGTTTTGCAAAGTCACTGTTTTTGTTGTCGAGTGTCCACAGACACATCTTGACACGGCAATGTGACGCGTCCAAGGGATTGACACGCACGGCATTCAATCTACTTGCGATCGTGGACTCTTGCCGAGAACCTCCCTGGATCGTCAGGATTATTAACGCGTGCTTGAAATGCTCACGCAGTGCGCACACGGATAGCTCCACAGGCGATTTGTTCCATCCCAAGGGTCGATGTGGGTTCGGTGTGTTGGCGACTAAATGTGTTGTCGTGGTAATGCCGAACAACATCGGCTCGCCACGCTCCTCGACGACGGCCGCAAAAGTAAACATCCGAAATTTTAGACCTCCATTTCCCACCGTCTCATTTCGACGTAAATAAAGCAGAGATGGGGTACAGACCGGCGGTGCGACAGGGACGTGATGCGTCGGGTCTCCCCCGCGACCTCCGGGAGCACGTGGAAGGAGGTGGAACTCCTCTTGGAAGCACCACTTCCACACGAACTCCGTAGCGGGACCACAACCTGGTCACCGGCCGCACGCCCACTTCCAGTCTCTGCCATCGGCTCGGCGCCACCGGTCTCGCGTTCGTCCGAGTCGTTGGGTTTTTCTTGTTGCCCCCCCCGACGGTTTGCGGATATTCTACGCACCAGCCCGGCTGCGTCCTTCTGCATCTTGATATTTCTTTGGGCTCCGGGATCTCGTTAGTACGCAGGTGATGCGCTCCGTCTCTCTCTTAATTAGGCTCATTCTGATTCTATAATTGCCGCTAATTAGGCCTCCACGCACGAGCCCGACATCGTGGGGCTCGTGCCGGCCGCCGGGGTGGGGGGGGGTCGGCGACTCGGCGGGGTGCACCCCGCCCCCCCGTAGGGCCTTCCACCACGCGGGGGGCCGAGCGGCCGTGTGGCCGTGTGGCCGTGTTGGCCCTTCACGAGTTTCGTCGGCAATGCACAATGATCTCTGCTTGCGTTAGGCCATGTGGTAATTATGACGTCGTTCTTTCCATGAAGCCTCCACTCCCCGACAAGGTGACCACGTCTACAAAGCTGCTACTTGGACGTGTACCCCGTGTCGACGTTGAACATCTTTGCGCTTTGAGCTGTTCCGGTTCGCTCGTGGGGATCGCTCGCCGCAGCTCCCCCGGCTGCGTCAGCGGCTTGCCCTGCTGGGAGCTGGGAGCACGGAGGCTGTGAGAGCCATGGGCAGTGCTGTCCGGCGCTCTGCTGCACCTCACGGGAGGACAGGCCGGGGCGGAGGACGGCCGCCGAGATGTCGGAGTACCTGGCGCTAGGATGTTTCGTGACGGCCTCTCAGTGGCCTTCTGTTGGGAGGTTACAATTTAGAAATTTGAGATTTTAATGTTTTTATTTTTGTGACTGACGGTGAGGTGCCGGGTCAAGCTGCGTGCATGGCGCTGTCTTGGCATGAGCATTCAGGAGCACCTGGCTCCCGACCAATGATCCTTAGAGGGCCAGCTTGAAGAGTCGCTTAACTGTGGCGGAACAGCACGTGGAAATGTAAATAATCCACTGTGTCTGTTGGGCACACAATCGTATGTATTTGTTCATCATGCTACGTACGTTTGTACCCCGCTCACCTACGCGTTGTTGCGTGATCGAGTACGCCGTTACGAATCTGTGAGACTTGCCACTATTGCCGAGTTCAAAAAGCCACCGATTCTACAAATGACGCTGATGTGCACACTCGCCGTTTGCACAGCCTTCACACGCACTTTATAAACCTGCATTCTGCGGTTCGTTGAAGTAGACTTCTTAAGGAGATGAAACACCAACTCAGAAAATTACATTCTTCAACGCGAATATGTTCCGTTTGCGCCCGTCCGATGTATTATTTTCAAAGGATTGACCCTGAAAGCCGTAACTTAACGAATGCGCTGAATTCCAACGTTTGGCCTTTGATGCATCTCGGGGAAACAAACGAGCTGCCAGGTGTGCGGTGTGAGCGTACAGTCCACATGCTTAATGAGCACCGATGCCAACCTCGTGCTTAACGACCACACTCAGCACTGTTTTCTCTTCGAGGGCCGCGTTATTAGCGCAATGCGCCGCACGGTTAATTAAGTGGTACTGATTGGATACTTTTTATTTATTTATTTTCAACACTGCAGACTGATTTATAACCATAAGTGGAGCTGCGCGTTCGAATTTCTAAATGCAGCGCTGGGCGGCGCCCCGGCGTTGCCGAGCATCGCGCTTGCCACGGTGCTGCGCCGGTACGGCCGTGGCCCTCGGTGATGCGCGCGGTTCCCGTCGAGGGCACGGCCTGGCACTGCGCGACACTGACGAGGACGGGCTGTGGGCAATGGCAGCAGGCGGTGAGATGGAGGCTCTCCTACAGTGTGCATGGCATGGGGCTGCCCGCAGAGGTCGCAAACGGGTTTTGATTCCTTACCCATACCCGGCCGCACTAGGGTCGCAAATGGGTACCCGTACCCGGCCGGGTACCCGGCCGGGTACGGGTACCCGTTCCCTACCCGTACCCTACCCGAAATGAGTGACAAACGGTTTATCACCAGTGACTCACGGCCTACCCGTACCCGTACCCGGCCGCACCAGGGTTGCAAACGGGTACCCGTACCCGGCTGGGTACGGGTAGGGTACGGGTATCGGGTACCCGATTGCGACCTCTGGCTGCCCGTCGTCAGTGAGATGACCGCAACCGCGATGATTTATGGAATGCAAACCCCCCTTTGCTTTTGGCGGAATCCCTCGAAAGTGAAAATGATGCGTGGGCTCGCAGGTATGCTGCTCCGTCTTGAAGAAGCGCTCGTCGCCATCGTTACGTTGACGGTGCCCTCGTGGTTGTGTGGTGCCCGTTACATCGTCACGTTGACAGTGCCGTCGCGGTCGCGCGGTGCCCGTGACATCGTAATGTTAACGGTGCCCTCGTGGTGGTGCGGTGCCCGTGACATCGTAATGTTAACGGTGCCCTCGTGGTGGTGCGGTGCCCGTGACATCGTAATGTTAACGGTGCCCTCGTGGTGGTGCGGTGCCCGTGACATCGTAATGTTAACGGTGCCCTCGTGGTGGTGCGGTGCCCGTGACATCGTAATGTTAACGGTGCCCTCGTGGTGGTGCGGTGCCCGTGACATCGTGTGACGGTGCCCGTTATTCGCCTGCATCACGGTCGCCCCCGTGCACTCTCTCGGCTGGCGCTGGCTGCTCTCATTTGATTTCCCGAGGCGTTTGAGGGACACCGTTCTATCTTTTATTTCATTTAGTTTCGTCTTGGCATGAAAAATAGGAATTGGTGATAGTGTGGCAGAGTTTCCCAGGCATGTCAAATAAATATGCTATAATTGAGCAAATTCAGTTTAAATCTCATTTAAGCAAACAGGAGCTATAGGTCACAGAGCTGTTTCATTATCATGGGAGAAACACCGCTCGCGTTCCGCGTGGAATCTAATTGCCGCGACTGCGCCAGTAAACGGTTTCGTCCGAAGTCATTGCTGGCCGCCTCCTCCTCGTACGAATCGCGAGCGGCTCGCAATCGCAACGTTCCGAGTTCACGTCCCGGTCGCGGCTCGGCTCGGCCCATCAATGCCGCCCTCCGGGGTCGAATCAATAGCGACCACTTTGTGGGTTGTCGACAGCCGTTGTCCCGTGGACAGACTCTTCCCACCGCCCCCGCCACCGTCACGGGGAATTTCCACTGGTGGCCGAGGGCTGTGAAAGGGAGAACGTGAGCTCCGCCTCGCCGCCCGCTTGAGCCGGGCCCTCGTGCCGCCCCTCACGCCGCGTACCGGACCCCTACAGCGGAGACGCTTCTGTTTTCGGTGTCGGATGGATTTTTCGTTTTTTAACGAATTCCCACCGAGTCAACAACGTTTTGTGCTAATGCCTCCCTCCCCCCCCCCCACTCTTCTCTTCCCTCCGCAGGGTGGAGTTTCAAAACAAATTCTACTTGGGAACGGGCTACAAGTTTGCCCCCTTCTCCTTCCAGCAGCTCCTGGAGAGCCAGCTGGAAGAGTGATGATGAGCTGCGGGGGGCGCTGGGGTGCCCCCCCCCCTCCGCGGCGGCGCTCTGCCTCCGAGCCCAGCGTGCGCTCGTGTCGCAGAGGCCGCTCCGTCCCCTTGGTGTGTCCCGTGTTGCTGTACCTTGGACTTCCGCCGCACGGGCCGGTCGTGGCTCATCGCAGGTGCGGGGGAAGGACAACAACGCTCAACAACAACAACAAGCAGTTTTCACTCATTTGTCCTGCCTGCGTGCGTGCGCGCGCATTACAACGCGCGCGTAGCTTCGCTCAACAAGCATTAGGGGTTTTTTGGTTTTATTTAATAAATTATTTAAATGAATTTTTAACGATTTACTTTTTTTTTGCAACGACAATATATTCCCGGCGATCGACTCCTCTCGAAGCTGATTATGTTTTCCACGTAACAATGTCGATATCAGTTGCGGGTGCGCGTTATAGATTTTTAACTTGACAAAGCTGTCTCGCTGAAAGGATTATAAAGATAGACGGCTTAAAAAAAAAAGAAAAGATCTCGCGTCAGCTCGTCAAATATTACACTTTGTGATGTGCTCCGATCGGCCCGTCGCTCGCTCGGACGTTTGTTCCCTGCTTCAATAAACGTTTCACTGCCCTGGGCCCCGTCACGTCGCTCGTGCCACGTGCTCGCCGCGCCGTTGCCAGCGCAGCCAGAATTGTGCCGTCGCGGGGAAACTAAACCGATCATGTTCACGGCCGAACCTTGCGATGTTTCTTTCAAACGATTGCAAAGCGCGCGTCTCGGCGCCCGCGCTCGGTTCGTTGGCGGACGGGCGGACGGGCGGTTTGCGTCCGCCAAATGTGGGCAGCAAACGGCCAAACTCGCTTTGAGTAATTGACGTCGATTTGACCATTGGCCAAATTTCAAAGAAAACGGCGCCCCGTGCACAACCCAGTAGCTCTGCGGATTCCGTACTGCGCTACGTTGCCACGATGGGCTCCCCCCCCTGCCTCCGCCAACAACTCGTAGTGACCAGGGCGGCGAAGTATGGTTAAACGAGCCCCAGCGGGCCCGCACGGCGTGGGGGGCCCGTCATCCAGCAGCGGATTTCTCACGGATCCAGGCCCGCCCGGTCTCCTCGACCGGCGCGCGAGCGAGCGTCCTTCCGACAGACCGCGACGTGGTTACCGAGCGCAAGCTCCGTGGTAGCCCCCGAGCGAGGTGGGTGGGTGGGGGGGCCTCTCGCCCCAGCGCCCTCCCCTCCTCCCCCGGCGGGGCAGCGCGGAGAGCACGAGGCCTGCCGTGGGACTGGCAGGGCCACGTGACGGGGGGGGGCGAGGCATTGGACGTCCACGTGGTGTTCTGTGCCGCGGTTCGTGTCGACCCCAGCAGTCGGTGTGCTCGTTGTGTTGTGATTGTGTGTGCGTCAATGTTACAAATAGTAAGTAGCTAATGAATGCATTGGTATATATAATATAGGTGTTTGCGTGGGCTAATCCATTATACGTTGCATATCTATATACGGACAGCATTATAAACAAGTGGTTAATGTTACGTGCGCTCCGAGCTTGTGTCCCCGCTGTGGAGGTGCGCGCGGTGACGCCCGCCCCGGCGTGCGGGACGCGGCGTGGCCGTCCCAGATGTATCAAGGATGGCGACCCTGACCGCGCTGCTTCGGGTTTACGAGAGCTCGTGCACGTCGGCAGGACGGCTCCGTGCGATATCCCACAACAACAAGAAAGTGCAAACTCCACTTGATAAGTATTGACTGCATTTAAAATGCCTGGAATGAATGTGGCGAGTTACTTAAACACCACGCGGGTTTTAACAGCTCGATATTTTCCACCCTTTTACAATAGCGCCCGCGTCACTGCCGGGTATTGCCGGTCCGTTGCTTGTGTTGCGTACACAGCTGTGGAATTTGTGGGGTGTGTGGGTGGGTGGGGTGTGTGGGTGGGTGGGGTGTGTGGGTGGGTGGGGTGTGTGGGTGGATGGGGGGGGGGGCTCTAGGGTAGGTGGGAGGCGAAGAGAAGGCGCCGCGTGCGACGAAGCCGACTGCTCGCGTGGACAGGCGCCGATTTGCGAGCCGCTCGCCGCCGAGAGCTCTGACTGGCATCCCGGGAGAGGTCTTCCATCGGAGGCCGTCGGGGGGGTCTCTGGCTCCTGGCCCGGTGACCTCCGGACACCCCCGGGGGGGAGGCCGCCCCAATCCGCCCCGCGCCGTCGTGGTGGCGGACGCGCTGCAGTGCTCTGGCGTGAACTGGATCTCTCGTTTACAAGCGACGCGCTACCGTTTCACTGTTGTAGGTTGCCTCGCGAAACGGCGCGACGGCATTGAACGTGAAAGAGAAGGCATTTTCAATATCCGTGACCCTCCCTGCACGTGTGTCGTGTTTTGAAGTTCGTGCTGTGACATTGAAGTCGGTGGTGGTGGTGGTTGTTGTGGTTGTTGTGCACTCCTCAGTCGCAGTCCTCGTAGTTGACGCGCCGTCGTGCGTGCCGCTGTCGCTCGGGGTGGAGCCATCGACGGTTCAAGGTACCGCAGACATCGGCAGCCTTCTACGATGTCGACCCCTCGCTCGCAGTGGCGATGGGAGCCCCCCCCCCACGTGAATTTCAATCTCGCTGGGAGCGCGCTTGGGCCCCCTTCTGCCAACTTGGACGTGACTTGTTCTGCGGCTTCGAGCTCTCAAGCCCCCCCCCCCCAGGTTGTGCCGTGGTTCCGTGCCGTGGTTGTGTCCCGTGCCGTGTGCGAGTACTGCCCCCAGCTATGTGGCGTACCCGTGGATGTGGTGTAATAAATGTGTTCAGCAAAAGCAACATCCGAGGAGGGGGGCCCCCCCCCGCGTCCTTCATTGTCGCCTCTGAACGTGGACGCGCCACCGCCGACTCGCAAGTCGTCGCGCACAGCGGTCGCGCACGCGAGACAACGTCTCACGATGGGAAGCTGTCGAAGCCTCGTGGTGTACACGACAGTCGCAGAGTGTGGCCGTGCGGTGGTTACGCGTTAAACCTGAATGTGTGGGGAGCGCAGCGGTCAGCGCCACGAACCCGCTCACGACCAACGCCACCGGGTGACGATTATCTGAACCGATCCTGGGCCTCCCCTAGGTCGACTCGGCCTCAAATGAGTACCTAGTGCGGTGTATAAACATCGCCACTTGGGAGACAAAGGCGGCCGGGCGTGTTGCTGGCCACCCACCCCCTCGTGTACCATGCCGGCCTTCATTGGTGCTGCTCGCTAACAGCACTTGCCCCAACAGCCTGTTGAGGCTACACGGGGGAACTTTGTAGCTTTGCACTCATCGCATCTCATTGTACAGGACGGCTGAGCGCGACTTGCTGATCAGAGTCGTCCACCCCTAGAGTCGTCCCCACCCAGAGTCGCCCCCCCCCAGAGTCGTCCACCTCCAGTCGTCCACCCAGAGTCGTCCCCACCTAGGGACGACTCTGGGTGGACGCGTCCTGGAGGCCCGCGTCTTGTGCCGCAGTTGGGAGTTGCGATTTGCTGCTCTCGCGAGCCACGAGGCATTGCTGCTCATCTCCCGTTTACAGCCCTGAACCAATGATGCTAATTCCACGTTCCTATAGCGGGGGCAAGTCTATCCATAGGACAACCACTCCTGACATCCCCATAAACTGGTGTCTATTGTATCGACCCAGGAGTTGTAGTTCTCTGTAAGCAGGCGACAAGTCGAGACCAGGGACGTCTTCTTCACCCGCCCCCCACCCCACCCCACCCAGGACGTGGACAATCTCGACCCTCCCCACCGCTCGCCGCGAGCCACGCGGCCGCGTTCACGGCGACTGCTGCCCCCGTCCCTCCTCCGCTCGACCCGCGCTCGCTGAACGTGACGGCGAACACGATGCCGAGGTGGCTCTCCACCGCGGCCTCTCGCCGCCCGCCCGCCTCTCTCCTCTCTCCTCTCTCGCCCCGTGCGGCCCGTGACGCTGCCCCCCCCTCGCACCCCAGAGGGCCCCGCGTGGCGCGCACGGAGCGCCACGCGGGGTGATGCCCGCGGTGGCGCCACCGGCGGCGAGCGCTGCGGGGGTTGATGTATGGCCGGGCGGACGGGGTGCGACGTTCATCAACACGGGCATCGAGGGAGATACATAATCCATACATAAATAGCACGTATGCACAACGTATCGATTAGCATTCATTGATAACTCTACTGCGCGTTCACAATGGCATGACCTTTGCACTCCGGCACGCTGGATATGGTGACTTGATGAAACGTTAAACTTGCTCTTGGCTCGTGCGTTGTGCGCGTGCTCACGCATCGGCAGTGATTGTCGTCGTGACCCACGGGGAGTCGATGCAGAATGAGCCGTGGGCGCGTTCCACGCCACATCGCCTGCAACGACCCCGGTCCTCGCTCGCACTGGAATGCCTCGGGGCTCCTGCACGAGGGTCCTGCCCGCGCTCTGTGTGACCCCCACACGGGAACCCTGCCGGTATCCCGCCACTTCGGACCGCTCACGACATTTCGCGTGAGCGCCATTGACAATTTGTGGAGCCTGTTCCATTCACGACATCGAATTTCCCGCGCGAGACGAAGTTTCACTGGGGCTACGCGGCGCGAGATGCCAAACGAGAAGCCACCCGCGAGACGGCCGCCTACGTCCAGCTCGGCTTGTGGCGAGTTCCCTACAAGAGGCCAATCTTGTTTCTTGTTAAAGGAATTACTATTCGGGAGTTTTAGTGGTTGTGTTGTTGTTTTGTTTGTGTTGTGAAGAGTGATACAGCAGTAGGTGGACATGTTTAGGTTAGGAGAAGAGGTGTAATGTCCGAAACACATCTCGAATCTTTTGTTTCCAAATTAAAGGGTAAAGCCGTTCCCATTTCGATAAATCGCGTGGGTTTTTTTTTTTTAAGAACGCATCCCTCTCGTTAATCGAGAGGTGCCTGTCATTTGCGGCGTAAGTTCAGCATTTGGCTTTTTGGCCAATAGCGGTGACATCTGGAACCGGATCAGATCATCAGATCTGGGAAGCTCAGCTGGTCCGAGCCTGGACAGGGCGTTGGTGAGCACAATAAAAACACAAAGTTAAGATAAAGTAAAATGCGTGTTCACCTCCGCGGGGGGTTGGCAGTGGTGACCTGCTTGGCCTCCACTTGGATGCCCGCGTTGCCGTCGTCAACACGAAGATGCCTCGCGTTGTCTGGGTCGGAGCGGCGTCGAACACGCGCGCGGCTCCACACTCGTGTGTCTCAGAGTTCAAGTACAATGGTGGCGGGTTTAGCGACACGTCTAAATTGACGCGATCTTACAAAAAAACCCTTCTATTATGGATGATATTGGTCGCTAAAGCCGCCTCCTCCTCCTACCACTGCTACTCGGTGTTAAACTAAAGTCCTGAACGTTGACAATGAAACGGACGCGTTTGGCCAACCCCAGAACAGACGCGGAGCTGCTCTGAAAAGCTCTGCCGCCTGCATTGGCGAGATTCTCGCTCAGGGCCTGAGCCCCTGCCGAGACCTCCAGCCCCATCGCCACCCGCCACTCGGGGCACGCGAGCTCTGTGGACATGCACACACACAGCACACACACAACACGCACACACGGACATCCATACACACAACACACACACACGGACATCCATACACACAACACACACACACGTGCGCGTGTCCTCGTGTTGGCTAAACACTGCAGAGGGCGGGAAGGTGACCCAACCCACAGCGTGACAATGTCATCCCGCCCGGACTGCCCCAACCCGCGCCCTCTATCAGTGAGCCCCAACCCGTGCCCTCTATCAGTGAGCCCCAACCCGTGCCCTCTATCAGTGAGCCCCAACCCGTACCCCCAAGCAGTGAGCCCCAACCCGTACCCCCAAGCAGTGAGCCCCAACCCGTGCCCTCTATCAGTGAGCCCCAACCCGTACCCTCTATCAGTGAGCCCCAACCCGTACCCTCTATCAGTGAGCCCCAACCCGTACCCCCAAGCAGTGAGCCCCAACCCGTACCCTCTATCAGTGAGCCCCAACCCGTACCCCCAAGCAGTGAGCCCCAACCCGTACCCCCAAGCAGTGAGCCCCAACCCGTACCCTCTATCAGTGAGCCCCAACCCGTGCCCTCTATCAGTGAGCCCCAACCCGTGCCCTCTATCATCGAGCCCCAACCCGTACCCTCTATCAGTGAGCCCCAACCCGTACCCTCTATCAGTGAGCCCCAACCCGTACCCCCAAGCAGTGAGCCCCAACCCGTACCCTCTATCAGTGAGCCCCAACCCGTACCCCCAAGCAGTGAGCCCCAACCCGTACCCCCAAGCAGTGAGCCCCAACCCGTACCCTCTATCAGTGAGCCCCAACCCGTGCCCTCTATCAGTGAGCCCCAACCCGTGCCCTCTATCAGTGAGCCCCAACCCGTGCCCTCTATCAGTGAGCCTCAACCCATACCCCCAAGCAGTGAGCCCCTAACCCGTACCCTCTATCAGTGAGCCCCAACCCGTACCCCCAAGCAGTGAGCCCCAACCCGTGCCCTCTAGCAGTGAGCCCCAACCCGTACCCCCAAGCAGTGAGCCCCAACCCGTACCCTCTATCAGTGAGCCCCAACCCGTACCATCTAGCAGCGAGCCCCAACCCGTACCCTCTATCAGTGAGCCCCAACCCGTGCCCTCTATCAGTGAGCCCCAACCCATACCCCCAAGCAGTGAGCCCCAACCCGTACCCTCTATCAGTGAGCCCCAACCCGTACCCTCTATCAGTGAGCCCCAACCCATACCCCCAAGCAGTGAGCCCCAACCCGTACCCTCTATCAGTGAGCCCCAACCCGCGCCCTCTATCAGTGAGCCCCAACCCGCGCCCTCTATCAGTGAGCCCCAACCCGTGCCCTCTATCAGTGAGCCCCAACCCGTGCCCTCCACCAGTGGGCCCCAGGCCGCCCGACCTGCAGGGCTCTCTCTCTCTCGCGTGTACGCGCGGTGGTGCCGCCCGGCTCCTCGCCGCGT